GCGGCCGTCGTTGATCGGCCATGCATCATTTCGCTGGATGAAATTACACAACGCTGGTTTTCCGATGAGTGCGAATAGTTGGAGGAGACCTTATCACAATCGTGGCTCTGTTGAGAGCAGTTGCATGTTTCACCTGATGTTGTTGTGGTTGATGATACGCTGCTGCCATTATCACTGTGTACTGGAACGTTGATGTTATTGGAATTGCTGTTTTTATTTAAACTACTTTGCTGTATTAAATCCATGCCGTTGTAATTTTGATTCCTAGACAATTGACAGTTGTTGTTATTTGTGGTGTTGCTACTACTGTTTGTTGCAATAGCTGATTGTTGTTGCTGTTGATTTGATAAATATTGTTGCTGCTGCTGGTGATGGTGATGATGTTGTTGTTGATGCTGCTGATTATGAAAATGTAGCTGTTGTAGGGCATTCTGCTGCTGTTGGTAAAACTTTTTACGATTTAACGAAGAGGACGAGTTGTTATTGTTGTTGTAATGCTGTTTCTTATTTTTGTTATTATTATTGGAATTGTGATGATACTTCTGTTGTTGCATTGACATTTGTTGCATTTTACTACCGCCACCACCACCACCACCATTATTATTATGATTATACTTTGCCTTGTTCGATCCACCGTTGTGCTTCTGGTGTTGATCTCTTTTATTTGATTTTTGATTTGATCCTCCTCCTTGGTTGCCATTAAAATCTTTGGATGCATTACCACCGTTTCCCCCAACTCCGGCACCCCCGCCAGAACCGCTACTTCCAACTTGCGTAAGCGACTGTTGATTTCGGTTGGGCGATGATATTGCTGTGGTTGCATTTTGTTGGGAATTCGGTGTTAAAATTTTCATATTACTAAACATAATAACTTCTCGTGGCTTTAGAGTTTTTAAAACTTTGTGGATGTTTCGTGTATTAATCCGAATTTTAAAAATAAGTTTATTCTTAGCTTTTTTAGAATTGGTTGGCTTATCTTCCAGGGTATGTTTATAAAATTGCCCGAGATAGCCTTCTTATAATTAATATATCCATGATATTTTCTCGTGTGTGTGTGTTTTTTTTTTTTGTGATTTTTTTAGGTTTTTATATATTTTTTATTTTAAATAATATTACACAATTTCTTGTTTTTGCAGTAGAGGTGAGCTTTGAGCGTTGTAGGAAGGAAAAGTGTTGATGTAAATATACGATTTAATTGGTTTTCACAACGTTGTGTAGTCATTTGATTCTGTTAGTAATTTTGAAAGTCTTCGGCTATAAACAACAAATGATCCATATATTTTAACACCCTCCTTAAGTAGTATAATTTTGTTTTATTTTAAATGTGGCCGATGAACTTTTTTGACTTTTTACTTCATGTTTGAATTTTAAATTCAAGAGCAACTGAAAAATATAAAGGAAAAAAAGATACTCTGTTAGGATGGAAATTGTTTATACATCTATTTATAGGCATTAATTAATTTTTGTACCAAGTTTTAGCTATTTGCACAACAACATAACTTCTTTCTTTAACATGTGACTTAAGCTGAATTTAGGGGCTCATCTCCAATTTTTCTGAATTGTTTATCAAAGGTAGAGCTAGTCTCCCTGATCACGAAAATAAATAACTTTGATGAGGAAGTCCATACTTCCCGAGATATGGACCTCTGAAGTTCCGGAATTCATATGCTCATAACTTTGTCAGTTTTGAAAATAATGACTTGATCCAGTAAAACAGTAATAACATATTTAAATCGAATCTAATGTATGTCATATTTATATTCAGTGTAAAGGCTACATTTGCACCCAATAATTAAAATTAATAATAACAAAAAAAATTTTAAAAGAACAAATTTTATGAGGCTTGAAAGGAAAGAGTGTTCAATGGTGGCCTCTCTCCCCTATTCTTTACAGGATAAATAAACCTTTTCACCACAACAGGTCGCGGACAGTGGAAAGCCAAATAAAATTCATTAGGTAGGTGCGAATAAAATAAGCTGTCATTGACCGTCAGAAGGTTTTGGAGGAGGAAGTCCGCATGACGGAAGTAGAGAGACTCAAAAAGGCTTAAGTCTAGTTTAGGGCCCCTCGAGGATCGTTTTGAAATTTTGTCCACATGTAGTTCTTTGGGGTCCTGATTACAATACGGTATACATTTTTTCTTGCGGAAATTGATATTTCCGGAGATATGGGCCTCCAAAGTTACTTTAGGACTCTTCTATTTTCTCACGGTTTTTAAAATTTACTGAAGCAATATGGGTATCAATTTAAGCGTTTGAAGTCCTGATTACAAAAACACTATTCAAATTAAAATGAGATGCGATCGCGTAGCCGGATCTGTCAGCTGTCCATAGGAGAAAGTCTTAAATCCCAGGCCGAAGGCCCGCTACACACAAACAACCATACTGTTTTTCAAAATTAGAGTCCCGCGGAATTTTGGAGACCCATATCTCAGAATATCTGAACATATTTGATAGGAATATTATATTTTTGCAATCAGGGCTTAAAGGCTTTAAATTTATACCCACATTCCCTTAGTAAATTTTTAAAATCATGAGAAAATGCACGGGCCCCAACGGAACTTTGGTGGCCCATATCTCCGGTTAAACTGATTTCCGCAAGAAAAAAATATACCATTGTAATCAGGGCCCCAAGGACTACGTGTGGTAAAAGTTTCAAAACGATTCGCGAGAGGCCCTAAACTAGACTTTTTCCGCATATGCGAGACTGATACTACTCTAAACAAATTCTCCCACCAAAATGCTATAATCATTTATTACGTCTTTAATCCCTTCCTCTCCTCTTTCAACAACAATGGACCCAGGGCATCTGAATAAAACGACCGCTACCATAACTTGTGGTTGTGCATTTCGCATTGTCTAAAAAAGGTAATGTTTGTGGCTTACAATTAGAATATGTTTTTTACAAATATTTCGCTGTAAAACATGCTCAAGGGCTAACTAATATTTGAATTTTGGAAGTGCCGTTATTTGATGGATAAAACAAAAATATTTTTGAATCAACCATTACGTTAAGAAATTTCCAAATTAAGCCACAGTTTAATGTTTATTTACTATTCGAATATTGCATTTGTCGATTATTTTCAATATCATACGATCTTATATTAACCGCTAAGAATATTTTCAAAAATAACTAAAATAGACAAGTTGCAATACTGTACTAATAGAAATGTACATACGCACGCACAATTATTTGTCAACCAATAATGAACGCACAGCCAAATATTTTCCTCTGTCTCCCCTTTCTCTTTACCCATCTTGAACCACACACCAAGAGAACAAACCCAAAACAAAATTTGTAACGGCACTTCATTTTTTGTTTGTTTTTGCCCAAAAACAAAAATCATCATAATTGCAATTATTATCCATCGCCAGATGAACGCCATATTCTCCATATTCTGTTTCTTCATCTGTCCTATATATGTATTTCTTTCTGTGTGTGTGTGTGCGTGTATGTCGCACATCTCCAATTCTTCCACATTAAGCGGTACAATATATACGTACCTCGTGTTTCCTCTTCACATCCAGAGGACAATTAACAAAAAACACCCCAAGGAAAAGAAATTCTTGTCACTTTTTCTGAAATCTTTGCCGGTGCTTGTGACTTGTGATTTATCGCGCCTTTTTCTAGATGATTCTTTTGTTTCATGGACAAGTGCAGAAATTATCCTGCAGACAATGTTATTGAACACCGATTTTCGAATATTTTACTGTAATATTTAACGCAATTTCTAAGTGGGGTTGACGTCTTGGTATATTTAAAAGAGTTTGTTAAGCATAGCTTCAGAGAATTCCATTACACTTTATTTCTATGATTGTTGTTTTTTATAATTAGTTCTGGGCTTTGAGTTGCGAATTTTGTTTTAACATCACACTTCTCACTTTTTTTACTGAAGTAAAGGCTTCTGCCTTCACTGATGAGAGAAGACAGCTGATAGTTGATTGCGTCTAACAATTCACTAATGATAGATAGCTTGCTGAGACCATGGCAATATTGACAAACTCCGCGAGTGGTGGCAACGCCGGAAAATTCGTTAGATTTTGGTCTGTTTAATTTTTTTTTGCATTTTGGAGTAAGCAAACAGAAGCGAATTATAAAAAATAACTCGCACATGAAAACTTTCCCACAATGTTAGACAATGAAAAATAGTATAAACATGGAATCGCGCCCAAGGCATATTATGTATGATTATGTATAAGTTGGCAAATATACCCTTGTAATAATTAGCCATTTTTATAAATTAATTTTTTTAAATAAATTTAAATGAAATAAAATATTTCTTTTTTCTTTTATGTCTAGGCTCGTAACTAATTCAATGCGTTGCCAACTAAAATACACACCTTCATTCCTGTATAAGGTTTGTTATTGTACCCAAATACGCAAGAATCTTATTTACCTTACTGAGTAAAAATTAATCAGTAAATTTTACAAATAAGATTTTTTAAATACTCAGTACATCACTGCCACAATTTCTCCCTCAACTTACTCTCATTTATTGAACTTTTAAGTTATCAAACAACATTCAGTAATAATTTGTACAAATTGTTATAAATTAATTAAATGTTACAAATTATGTTGAATTTATGTTGAAAATTGTCCCCTTTAATTTTTGTACGCAATGCTATTTGGGTAACATGCATTGAAATACATGACGTGAACAAAATTTTACGCATGAAGCTAGGTACGGTCTTTAAGTTTTACATGTGTATAAATGTAGAATGGTTTGTATTTTCACTATTGTCTACTCAAAAAAAAAGTCCTTTGTAAACGCCAAGTAATTTCGTTATCGCAAGCAGGCCGTACGTTGGCGTATACTCCATCTAGTGATAACCACAACGAGAACATATGTTTTTGTTTTTCAAATTCTGACATCTTCGACTCACACATTATATTCCGTGTTAACCATCATTTCTAATAAAAAAAAGAAGAAGACGTAGGTTTTCTTTCATAATCGTATTTCTTGCGGTATCGAATTAATTTGTTGGAAATTATTACAGAAAATGTTGCTATCACATAGTTCAAAACTATGGAAGATAAGACGCATGCCGCTGTGTCGCCTTTATAACTCGACTGCTTCAAAAAATGCCCTGGCTGCCACACAAAAAGCGGCCGACAATGATGAGTACTGGGAGACACCACAATATCCAGAGATTAAGGATACCTCATTTGCTGGCCGCAAGCAAGACGAGGCAAGGTCGTGGCATGAGCAAATCCAAAAGACACCCACAGTGGAAGAAAAGCTCATAAAAATAAATATGCCAAGGTACTATGGCTATAAAGTTGTGCATATGAACGAGGAACGTTTGCCCTACAACTGTTTGCCGGCCATTCAGCACTACACACGCACCCACTTCGAACCAATGGAGAAAGAACTGAAGGAAGATGAGAAATTGTCAACTTATGTTAACAAAATGAAGGATCGTATTGTGGAGACCCTAGAGTTTAGTTACGATGTTTATAGGTAATATGTGGATACACTTTATTTAGGTACCAGGTGTCTGAAGATGTTTTTTTATTGATTTATAGTCATAAAGAGGAGGATAACCCCGAAATGGATGAAATCGAAAGAGAAAAACTATTTACGCAAATTGTCGTAGAACAAATCCATAGGGAATTGGCTAATGGTTTGGCTGGCGATTTCCCACATCTTCATGAAGTGGAAGTTGATTACAATCCCAGGCATGAGGCGTTTTGGGCCGTTGGAGGTATTGAACCACCGAAAAATGTTGTCAAATCCAAAGAGGGAAGAGAATGGCAAAAAGATAACGCCAAGGATCCCGTTGATCGTTTTATGCAGTACAAAAGTGAACCGATACTGGCATTGAGACACCAATTACAATTGCAACCATGGAAAAGTGAGAGAGAATATAACAATTTGACATTGGCGAAAAGTGTACCCCGTTTTGAATACGATCCCAGGACCTTAGGATACACAACAGGTCATCAGCACGGCACAAATATTCCCGGTAAACTGAGATAATATTTGATATGATAAACAGAAATTATGTATTTGTTTATTTTAGGTTACTGGCCAAAGAGTGCAAACAGTTTCGGTTTCATTTCCTACCAAACAAGAGCTCCATTCCTTCGACGGCCCAAATCGTATGGCAAAGAAGATCAATTGAATGCCTTACATGCTCATGCCATACAATCGAGTTTTGCTTGGCTTTTGGCTCAAGCAAATTACTATGGTTTTAACACTTATTCGGAACTTACCTACCCCATGAACACCCAAACTATTGTTACTAATGGCAAACAATGGTCCTTTTACGAGTATCAATTGAATACATTGCTAATGCATGGCAGTCAAATTGATGAAAATCCACGTGTCAACAACAGCAGAGGCACACCCGAACTGTCATTGTATCAGGAAATCGATTCGAACGGCAAAGTTGTGGGATTCAATGATCAAGTTCTAAAGCATTTAATTGCCTGCTACACCAAAACTCCTAATGTCCGGAGATCAAACGACGAACTCACCCCATTTTTGGATAAACAATATAAACGAATTGCCGATTACCCCGATGCGGAGAAGAGAACCTTTTTGGAACAAATATTCAAACATATGTGTTCAAATCGACCCAGACATTTGCCATTGCCCGAAATCTACATGTGGGAAAAGATTTATAAAATTGATAATAAAACACGACCTTTGGAGGCGAAACGTCGATTTTTCGAACTAGACATTAATCCATGGAAACGCACTTTGGACCAATACGATAAGGAGTATATTCCAAAGGCGGAACGTCCCGAAGGTCCAAAGAGTAAAAATAAATTCAGGAAAACCTATTATCCTTGAATCGAATGGAAATAAGATGTATTGTTAATGTTTTTTAGGAATAAATTGATCAAAATGGAATACAATAGTGTTTGAAAATGAATACATATATCTTTGTTGTTATTATTCGTTTCTAAAAATTAAGTTGTTCCACGACGGTGGAACTGCTACTACTGAAATCAGTTGATGATAATGTATTATTATTGCATCCAACTGTCGACCCATACAACTTACCAAACCTTCCCACGGTTTATATGTTATTTTTCATTGATAAATATGTCTAATATGGTCAACTGCACAATTTATTTATCCTTATTTGTCAGAGACATTGTTTTATCCACCAGCTCATGTATTTCCTTCATATTAAAACTTTTAAAACTATCCTCCAATTGACGATGCACCTTAAGTTCTTCCTCCAGAAATGGTGCCAAGCTTTTATATTGACTATTTTCGATTTTTAATGAAGCCAACATCAATGAATTCTGAAAAACGAAATGAAAAAGCAATTTCAAACTTCAATTGTAAGGACTTTAATATAGTGAATGGTTCTTTACCTCAAGGAATGTCTTCCTATACTTTTCAATTTGCGTATCGATTTCTTTTTCATCCGATTCTGCATATTGTTTGGCATGATCAAAATATGGTGGCAATAATACATGATCCGGAACAGAAAAGTATTTCTTATCCATATTCTCGGCCATTGTTACAAATCGATTAACAGATGCATCCTCCATTATATCCTGTACAATACGATTCTTGTGTTGTTCCAAAATCTCAGAAGTCTCGGATGAACAAACAATTTTGCTGAGAACATGATCGATTGCAAGATTGAGAATTTTTTTAATGAAATATTTTCTTTCTATTGATATGTGCTCGGCAGAGAATCCGAAGTGTTCAATCTCCCGCTCGCTTTCCATTTTTACTAGAGTTGTGTCGTTTCAGATCGAACTAGTTCAAAGGAACTATTCCCAACGAAGAACGATCGGAACTAGGTCCGGATCATTCGTTCACCTAGTTCCTTTTGCTACAGTCGTTTCTTCTTCTCTCGCTCCCTTCATGTTGACAGTTCAACAATAAACTTACTGGAGTTTACTGTAAGAATTTTATGCAGTAAAATTTTGCAAACTCTGTAATTTTAGAATCAGCTGTTTTATGACAATCGACAACAATTTTGTGCCAGATATCCAAACATTTTAATTTCCAAAGCACAATTTAAACTGTGTTGTATAAAAAATGTAGAAAATGGAAAAAAAAATTGTTGGCGGCGTTACTTAAATGTTACTGGAAAAGTAACCAGACACAGACTATTTGTAAGAATTTGTACAAATTGTTACTGAATGTTGTTTGATAACTTAAAAGTTCAGAAAAAATTAGAGAAATGTTGGCACAGTATTAATTTTCAAAAAATTACACAGTAAATTTTCATGTTTATGTTTTGTTGTCAAATATATACAATTTTTTTAATCAATGCAATAATCTAAATAAAAATTTTGTGGAGATATTAAGCATTATGCAATGTATAATAGCAATAAATACCATTGTCCTTAAAGCTTTGTCAAAAGAGCCATCAATGTCGTATGTAGTGTCAAATTTTACATATGTGAGTATTGTACACGTCGTGTGGCCCATATGAAAAATTGCATCTGTTAAAACGATATGACAACTCATATGTAATTTTTTTAGGGTCCGCTCTATTCCTGTATGTATTTTCCTCTGTAAATCAAAAAAATCAGCTGTTTTGTTTGTTTGGCAAATGAAAAAAAAAGTCTGATAGAAAATAACTCGTAGAAATGAAGTTAAATTTGGGTGTCAATAGATAGCTTAACTAGTAATCAGTGGATGGCTGACTTGTTCGTTCACGAACTAGATAACTCTACTTGACTGCTGTCACCTCTCTCAAATAGTGTCCATTACACCACATTCGTAAACTTTGTCTGTCCGCTTTGAGTTCCTCTTTTATTAGGCATTCTTTTTCAATCGGTTAATTTAATTACCAGAGGGATAGAACAGATCTAGATTGACTCCGACTGTGGCTGAGTAAATAAACGTCAGGTTATATTGTGAATATTCCGGACATTCATCAAATATGGAGGCGAAACAACTTAAAGCTCTGCTCGACAAAGACACTGAAGAATTTCCAAAGGTTTTGCGAAAATTCAACGAAGAGGTAAGTGGGTGGGTGGGTTAGTGCATAGGTGATTTGTTTATGTTTTATGTACCCAATATTGCTTGCCAATATGACGATGATGATTGTGAGCCGAAATAAATAACTAGAAACCACTTCTTTCTATTTCCAGAATGCCAATCTATTTCAATTCGAGAAATTCCATAAAAATGGTTTGTGGCTGGATTTGTGGAAAGCGGTATTCGGTATATTGAACGATGATGGTCTAGAGAAGTACCATACTGTGTGCTTGAGCACGATACGAATATTGTCACGCGATGAAAGTAGTCTTTTAAAGAATAACATTGTTCCTGATATTGGTTGCCTCCTTAAATTGGCCCATTTGGTAGCGGGTAGCACTACATTGGCTGCCACCACACCCGATGCCATTGATCAAAGCTTTAACGCAGATATAGTTGTGGAAGCACTGAAATGCCTCTGCAATTTGGTGTTCCAAAATGCGGAAGTTCGAAAGGAGTGCATACGTCAAAATGTGGCCGATCTCATTTTCCAGCGCTTGTCATCGTCAACGCAAACCGAGTCATCCATAGAGCTATTTGATATGAAATTATTGTTCCTCATAACGGCACTGGACACAACGGTCCGTAGTAGAGTTTTAATAGAGCTAAACGGCCTGACATACCTGACTGAACTCTTGGATGAGAAATTCCGCGTTACCTCTGAATTCAGTGACCAACAGTTTGATATTGCCATTGAGTTGCTCAAGGTAATGTTCAATATAACGTCGAGCAGTGACAAAAGCCCTAGTGAAAACGAAATTCAGAGCCTACATCTGACAAGTGTGATTCGTGAAATACTGATACGTTTTGGCGAAATGAAAAGGGAACGTGAACGTCTCGTTATTGCCCATTCCATTGATCTCTTGACCAATATATCCAGCAGTTGCCTTAGTGAGCTGATTGTGAAATGTGATAGTACTGCAAAGACATCGGAGAAGCGTACCATATTCGAGAGTCGTAACGTAAGCGCCCTCAAAACTATTCTAAGCTATCTCCACTACACATTGGAGGAAAATGAAAAGAGTTCTTCGACCAATAAGAATTTGGTTACCCCAGTATTAGCTATTTTGGTAAAATGCATTTCCAGTAATTCCACAATGCGACGATATGTACGGAGTGTTATACTTCCACCACTGCGCGATGTCTACAAACGTCCCGAAGAGGGCAATGAACTACGCAATTATTTGTGCCGCCTACAGGGAAGCCCTGACATGGTCGTTCGAAATCTCACCTATGAACTTTTACTTGTTTGTTGTAAGAAGAGTCAAAGTCGGCTAATTAAATATTTTGGCTACGGCAACATGGCTGGGTTGTTTGCAAATGCCGGCTTGATGCCTGGTCGTAAAGCTGAGACAAATGAATTCTCATCCGACAGTGAGGACAGTGATACAGAGGAATATTCCGTTATGAAACATGCCGTCAATCCTGTTGTTGGTTGTTATGTACCACCAACACCGAATCCTTTGGATGGCATGAGCGAGGAACAAAAAGAATATGAAGCCGAACGACTTGTTAATTTAGTGGATCAATTAGATCGGTGTGGTATCATAAAACCATGTCGTATAAATGCCGAAGGAAAGCCGGAACCAGTTGATCATATCTTGGAGTTGCAGGAACAGCTGCCCAAGCAGCAGGAAATTCTCAAAAATGATGACGATGAATAAAAGGTCTATTGCCAAGAAGTAGGAAGACTAATTATTCCAAAAATAACCAGCGTTATCATCATTATTGATTACAATCTCAGATATTATAATATGTATGTATTATGCATACGTGCTATGTGAGAAACAAATACAGAATTAATGCGTGACTAATGCTTTGTTGAAGCAGTTGATTCAACCACAATGGTGACGGGATAGCTTAAATGTAAAGGTGAAATGCAAATAAAGTATGCCACTTGCTGCTTACATTTTAGTGTCTAATTATTTACTTGCAATGATATATGTAATAAAATAATGAATAGAAATTATCGAAGACGAAGACAAATTAAATGAAATCTTATATTGCCTTAGTTAATATGTATTATGCTTTACATTCTAATCGATGCATAGGTCATAATGCCCAACATAGGCCTAATGTCTCAAAATCCTACGAGCTATTATTAATTAATTCTGTAATTACCTTTGCTAGCATTGCAATCTCTTTAATAAATATGTATGAACTATTGTTTTGTATATTTACTATATTTATGGCATAAAATATATGTGTTACCACAATTTATATTCAGTATTGAATGAATCATTTATTGTATAATTATATATATATATATGGATGTATGTATGTTTTGTACAAAATATGTGGGGCAGTTATTTGTATGTTCATATACAATGACAATTGACTAGAAGAAGAAGCGAAATGTTGAATTTATCAAATAATGTTAAATGAATTTCGATATGGAGCGTTTTGGCTGTTTATACAACAACTGGTGTGGCAGCTGCTGCTGTTCGTACTGTTGGCCGCCACTACCAACGTTTTTGCTATTTTCATATTTGCGCATATCGGTTTTATGAATCGCCGAATGTGATTTTAAAAAGTCTTCCATTTGCATTAGTGGTTCCCCCCCACTGCCACTTGAAATGAGTTCAAGAGCATTGCTATGTTTTCCCTTAGTTAATAACTGAAAGTAGGTACTTTTTATAGGTGTGTTTGCCGAATGGTAATTTGTTTGTTTTCTTGTAGGATTTTTATAATTATTTCTTAAATCCTTCTCTGACTCTGGTGGCATCGACGGTGTTTTGGCTAATGTTTCTGTCGGTTTTTGATTTGTTTGATTCTGTTTCGGATAATTAAAGGTATCGCGACAAAAAGATTTCACTTCGTTCTTGTAGCGTCGTATATCATCTTCAAGCTTCTGCAAACGCCGTTCGTAGCAAATGCGTTCCTGAGATTTTTCACTGGCTGGAGATTTGTTTGCATTGGAAATTTCAGATCTGCCCTGACGTAGTAGCGGTGATGAGGCTGTAGTCGAAATTGTATTATATGATTTATATTCTGTAGCCTTGCTGTTGTTCTCCAATTTATTTAAAGACGTTGAACTCCGATAAAGTTTGTAAGAATTGTTCAGAACCTTAAGGTTTGTTTGACCATTGCCAATAGGGGCTTTAGCTATGTCATCGATATTTGTTGAGGGTCTATGCTGGAACGTTTGGGTTTTAATATGCTGGCGTTCATCTAATCCGAATGTTTTGTGTTTCTCCAGGTCAGTTGAGGCTGCTATGTTGCTAGTACTTTTATTTATTTTCCTTTTCATCAACGAAGGAGCCGTATATATTGGTGGATTGTTGTTGTGTTGGTAACTACTACAGCTTTCTTCATTTGTTGAAATATTCTTTTCAGTTGTACCAACTCTGGGCTTATCCTCGTTAATGGATTTTTTGCCATTGCTGTGTTTTGGTTTTGATGGCTTTTTTAGATCTGATTTTTCTGTGGCACTGTTTTGTTTGTTTTCAGTTCTGTTAGAGTAAGTATAAAATGATGATATATGTACAAACAAATTGCTAAAAATAAACATATACCTTTGCTTGGATTCATTATCGTATATTTTTGACGAACTATCTAATTGTAGTTTCCTTTCGCCAGACATTTGAGCAATTTCATATAACTTTGATCTATATTCAGGCACCGACAACCGAACATCATCACGAAATGGAGGTAGAATATCACCATCTAATTCAATTTCTGGTATTGAGTTACGAAATCTAAAGTTGATAAATTATAATTATTTTCGAGGGGGTAAAACAAACAAACAACAAATAATCGTATACTTTTCCACATATGGATGACACAGAGCCTGTTTTGCCGTCAATCTACCCAAGGGATCTAATACCAATAACGATTTCACCAAGTCCAATGCATCTTTTGATGCATCATTTAGTAAATCTCTAAAAGTTGTCTTCCTTAAAAAAAGAAGTGACCGCATAAAAAATGGTTTATATTTCGTTAGAAAAACAATAAAATTATATTACTTTTCTTTTGATATATGTTTCTTCAGAAGAACTGAGCCAAATCCTGCACCCACCGCTTTTATGTCATCTTCCGTTATATCCGGTAAAGTGGAAATTATTTTTTCAATCTATATTGTTCGAAATACTGATTTGTATATTGGCAATAAATTTTCCAACATAGAATACTGTTACCTGATTAACGGTACTGCTTCCTTGAAATAGTGGCTTGCCACGAATCATCTCACCCAGAATACATCCCAAACTCCACATGTCAATGCCTTTAGTGTACCTTTAAAGGAGAAGAGTTTTAAATTTTAAACAAAATACAACATTGTCGATAATTCAGATTTCCGTGAGATGTCATTTGGTTCACCATTCCAGACACTCTATTTTTTCTCATTATACTGAACTTTAGCCAACTTTTCCTAATTAATCATTTTTTTTAATTGATGGACCATGGATTACTTCACTGTCGCTCTTTAAAAATGACATGATGGCGAATATTTTGAGTTTTCCTCATAGCATTAAAATATTTGAGTCGAAATCAAATCAAAACTGTTGGATACGGTTATTACTATAACATACTTTTTACTTGCTATTAAAATTTCCGGTGCTCTGTACCAACGTGTTGCCACATAATCTGTTAAGAGCGGTTCCACAGGCAATTCACTATTCATGTCACCCGAATCACCACGCATTGGCATACTTGATACGGATCGGGCCAGGCCAAAATCAGCCAATTTACACCTAGAGAACATTTTCAAATTCAATATGGATTATCGTAAGAAATCAGACGACTCACCTGCATTTACTGTCGATTAAAACATTGCTCGGCTTCAAGTCACGATGTATAACATTTCCCGAATGTATATATTTAATGGCGTTTATCAATTGATACATTATATAACGTTTATGTATATCCTTGAGTATGGTGCCCTTCTTAATGATGTTATGCAGATCACTTTCCATATATTCGAATATCAGATAAATGTCCAAATTGTTTTGAGCCCTACAGAGGATTAGATGTTACAATTTTTTTGTATATTTTGTGAGGTGAAATGCAAATTACTTGTAAACGTTGTGTAGTTTTACTATATTTGGATGATTACGAAATGCTTTGAGGAACACAATTTCTCGGAAGGTGCGTTGGGCATCTGTTTCATCGCGAAAAGCATCGAAAATCTTTTTAACGGCCACAGTTTCATTGTTTCGTTTGTCCAAGGCTTTCCATACGATACCGTAGGCTCCTTTACCCAAACGCTGAAAAACAGGACGAACATTAGATTTAATTTATTTAATTAAGAAGTAAAGTGGCGTGACAAATCTGACTGTCCTTTAACCTATGTCACCTTACCCCACAAGGGTACGCTATTTCAAATTTTGTAAAAGGATAATTCACCCACCTTTTTAATATCAAATAATTTCGATATATTTTCATCTATTTCAGACATTTTATGTTTATCCTGAGATTTTGATTTGGTTGTCATGGTGGCGCGCTTATTCCACAAGACCGCACCGCTTTGTATGGGACTTCAATGTGATTTTTTCTTTCGTTTAACAAATTTAGCCCAATATGCCACAGCGAATGATAAATGAAAGTGTTGAATATGATTTTTGCATGCAATTATTGTATCCTGATGATAATGCAGCCTGTCGGCACGTGAGACGAGAGTTCAGTTGTATCTTTGTTTAATCGATACAATGAAATGAATTCAAATTTCCCATATGGCCGGCATTTGTTTTCTGTTGGCTCATAGGCTTATTTCCGATATAAAGGACGACGATAACTGCAGGTGAATTGCAAGTGTCAAGTTAGTATAGAATGCAATTTCAATTATTGTACCATGCCGTGCTTGCACACATGCCTAGGAATAAAGATGTGTAAGGATTCTAGTTTGTATTCATGATTGGAGGATGCATTAAACGCGTTTGAAGAGTTCATTTTTTATACTTACCAAAATTTACATTCACAAATGGTCATCTATTTTCAGTAAAATGTGCGATTTTCAAACTAACAAACACAGCTTGCAGATGGTATAAAGAACACAACCTTAAGGATTCTTATCCTTACGCATATGTTTTTTAATTATTATTTTTTTAATATAAAATATATATTATTTTCTATTTATATTTAACACAGTTTTGTAAGAATTTTTTTTAATGAAATCAAATATTTGCTGACTGATTGCTATGGCAGTGTTAACTAATTTCCAAATCCTTTTGGATTTTTTTCACAAACAGCTTTTGTTTGTGTTTTTCTAGTCTTGACTATCCTTAAGGATAATTTTAATGTTATGTGTATTTCTATACCAACGACAAATGGATACCAACGTCCACTCTATATGTAGTGTGGGTGAAAACAATCTTCGGTCGCCATACATACGTACACCTGTTATCATAGCAACAGGATATGTACATTTTTAGAGGTCCTTATGATTGTGCGTATAAATGTGTGTGTGTTGTGTGAAGGTTTAGGTATTTTATGTTGTTACAAATAAAACAACATAACATTGTCGGCATTTCTAAAAACTAAAGCATATTACTATGTCTACATTTAGATTAGAAAAGAATAGAAAAGTATTTCTAAAAACACAACCGTATGTATGTACATTTAAACTGTAAACGAACGGAATTGTTGAGTAATATTATTGAATTAAATTTAAAAAAAATGTAGCGACAGTTACATAAGTTATCTGTTAATCAGTTTTAAACCATAAAAAATAATATCATTGTTGCGATTTTATCACTCTTTCAGTGGTTACAATTTTTTCCTGAGATTATCACTTAATATGCTATCATTTTTCAGTGAATCATAGGATGACGCCGTAACCAACATTTTTAGTTGGCCTTACAGCCTTACCTAAAATTCAACTCGTTAGACGTTTTTCACCTCAAAAGTAGAACACATGTATTTATATGAATGTTACCGAAATACGTCGAACGTACAAAATTTCAAGTTGAACAATTTCAACTTTGACAGAACGTATTTTTAATTTGTTTCTTTTGTTGAAAATAAAAACAAAACATTCAGGAAATTTGAAATTTCGAATGGAAACTAAAAATATGTGGATTAATTTAATAAATTTTCAAATTGGTTTTGCGGTTTGTATTATTTGCTTGAAGATATGGATTCGACGTATTTGGGTAATACGGCCGTACACAACATTTTGCCATAGTGGGGAAGTTGAATATTTTTATACGCTCCGTCGGATTTTAGGTAACGTTGTTAAACTCAGCTGTTTGAAGTGAGTACAAATAAAATTTTTTTATGCCATGTTCTGACGGGCATTCGAACAACGTAGTTCGCTCTCAGAATTACGTACATGAATTAACCCGTTCATACAGCACTATTCTTAATTCATGACATCAGAGTTTTTTATTTCAAACTTTTTGTTTCTTGTTTTACACCAAAATTGTAACATATTTGCGTGAATCTCACTTTTAATTCAAGTTTCCATTGTTTTTAAAAATATTGTTGTTAAATATATTTTCATATTTTCTCAACTCAAATGTCACATATAAAAAATTGGAGAATTTTTGTTTGTTTCCTGTTTTGTATGCTAAATAGAACCAAAGAGAAAGAAATGCATATTGCATTATGTAAAAAACAAAATTTACATCCGGCTTCATAAATAAAAACTATACAATTTTTTTACTTTTCTTTCATCATTTTCAATTTAACTGAAAATGTTTGAAAATTTCATAAATATTTTCATGCTATCAAAATAAATTTATTTTCGATAAACTCTCTCATTTGTTAGGGATGGGACAAAATTCTTGGATTGATTCGAATTGAACAATGTAAAAAAGTCGGTGTTCGCTCAGAAAATTTTGTATGGGGAATTATGTAGTTACTTCATAATTAAGGGTCGAACAACGAATGAGAACAACGCTCGTCTGTACATGACATTAGAGTAGAGTTGAGCAATCTAGTTCACGTAAATGTAAACAGGAATGCCAACTTCTGATTGGTTGTTATATTGATTTTAAAGTATTTTCTACTAAAAAAATACTGGAAAAGTCCGGGAATCTCCTTTTATATAGAACCGGGTATCCGTACCCGAACTTCCGGGTACGTACGTCAAGAAAAAAACATATCCGCATAATTAGGGTAAAAATAACTTCCTCTGGAATTTTTTCGGTAAAATCTGATCGTTTGTACTAAAATAGAGTAGTCCCGGACGCGATCAGTAAAAGGAACGAGATCAGAAAAAATAACGAAATCGAAAAGGAACGACATCAAAAAAGTAACAATTGGTACTGCAAGAATATACTACTTTTTACTACGATAACGAATTTTCCTTTATGATATCGAATAAAATAGTAGAAACTAGTAGATTCTTACAGTACGGGAACAGACCATATATTAAGTAAAGAGCTGGAACTAGTTCCGATGGTTCCTTTTTCGGAATAGTTCCAATGAACTAGTTCGTTCCGGAACTACCCAACTCTACAAATTAATTTTTCTCCTACTTCACGCGAATTGCAAACATTTTTCTAATCGGTATCGGGATTGTTGTGTGAACTCATCGCGTTTGTTTTATTTTATATATGTGTGTGAATATTTTTCGTTAATATTATTAATGAAGCCGACACGGAATTGTGTGTGCCCACAGTTTTGAGTTAGTAAAATGCATCATTAATCAAACAAAAGTCATAACATTAAAGCAAACGAACGTAGAACGTCTCCCAAACTAAATTATTCAAACAGAAGACATACACACACACGCATAGCTGCTGCTGCTGCTTTTGCTCTCAAATGCATACATATTTACATACATATTGTACATCAATCTCAATGTTGTGTGTGCGGTGCGTGTGTATGTCGGCAGCAGTAGCAGCAGCACCTATAAATTAGTGTAGTGTTTTTGTTTCAACCAGCCAGCGATACGATTCCAAGGAAGATGAGTGCGTGCAAATTCACATTGATAAAATAGCCGTTTGCCAAAAAAATGCCTAAAATCCAAGTGGAATGTAATACAACAACGACAACAAAGTGTGCGACGATGAGAGATCTGATGCATGCACTTTAAGTATCGCATAGTTCACAGTTCAGTTCGGCACAATTTTAGATACTCTGGCGTCATCGATATCATTGAAATCTCCACGAGAAGAGGAGAGAGTGTCTGTCCATGAAATAAGTGAAAAATAAATAATAATTATTTGCATTGTTATTGTTCCTTGTTGGTAGGACGTCGCGCATCTCCATGACAATGAGATGGTGAAAAATCGAACATGAATGTGTGTGCAAATGTTTTGTTTATTGTTATATTCGGTATATTCTATTCCTCCGCTGTATGTTGGTATGCTTCTCCAGTCTTTCTTTCGTTCGTTTCGTAGTAGTAGCGTAAGTTGGGCGCATGTAATACCACAAACACACATAGTTGATTGTAGGGGGTAATAACATATGTTCGCCCTCCCACCCATCAGACACAAACACACACACATGAGGTTTACCAATAAATGATGGAATATTTTGAAGGGAACCCTTTAAGGAGGTTCAATGTTCATAATATTCTAGACTTGATGTTCTTGGCTTATCAATTTATTTTTTGGCCTTCATATTAAATATGAACACTTATAGCACCTATTTCGTATGAGAGAACCCTTTAAGGAGGTTCAATGTTCATAATATTCTAGACTTTATGTTCTTGGCTTATCAATTTATTTTTTGGCCTTCATATTAAATATGAACACTTATAGCACCTATTTCGTAACCGGAAATTGTTTCCTGTCGATATATCTATAGTTCTATCCTTATATATTTCAAGGACCTTACATTTTCCATTCCATTTTTTTAACTATAAAATTTAACTAACATGTGCTTGTTTTGTAGTAATAAGTAGTAGTAAACAAAATCATTTCAAAATTTTACTCTCATACTTTAAGTGTGCTGCTTCCTATATATGCGGGTTGTTTGCTTGTATGACGGCTGATGACTTCACCTCTAACCAAAAATGAAAAAAAAAAACAAACAAAACTAGCGTTGTAGACAACATGGATGGTGTGCTGAACCAGTAAACCACCTACGTATACAGTGTCTGAGCCAGGGATGGCGACTGACTTGTTGGTCTGGTAGTGTAACAACAATATTACCAAAAAATCCAACTGTTTGATGATTCATTTTGGGAATTGTGCCCTGGAACATAGATGATATTCCCTTAAGTGAATTATTGTGGTGGTGCTATATAATATGGACAGGGTGTTTTATGTTTGGTTTAGAATTGCCATGAGGGAAAATATTGTATGTGAAAGTATCCAAAGAAAGAATTGAATATGCACGGCCTGTTTGGTGAAAATTAAGAAAGGTTTTTGGGACGATTTTAATGTTTATAAATGTTGTTATTTTATTATGTTATGGTAAGGTTAAGTCTAAGGGATATACGTTTTTTATGCAGAAATCCATATTTTTTGAGATATCAATCTGCAAATTTCAGTTTGGCATCTTGCATTTTCCCAGACTTGAAAGTGTCGATTGCAAAAATAGTTCCAATAAGAACTAAAACTACATATGATACCATTACCCATAATCCCCATTAACCCTGCTACCATTTTAGAAAAAAAAATCACATATGTTAGGGTCACATTTTGACCCACAAAATCCCGCTTATTTTTTCGGATGTTCTTATATCCGTGGACTACTGTATACCTATTTTTTTGCGGTAGCTTATCTAGTATTCATTGTTGTTAAATCGAACCAAGAGCACCCCATTGTAATTCTCTTAAATTTGTTTACAATGTTGCTAATTTTCGGAGTAAGGGATACCTTCCTAAGGTTTATTGCAAAAATGCAAGTTTGGCAACACAAGTAATATAATCATCGTAAGAAAAATGTTGAATAAGTTACTAGAAAAATTAAGGAATATAAAAGTTTTATAAAAAAAACGGAAGAGCCTGATTATATTTACAAAACAAATAAAACCATATAAAAGCGTAACTTTTTTCTTCCAGTGTTTATGAATGGTACGCGTTCTTTCATTATCCACGATTTGTCTGTCAAGTGCTACGAACGAAACATATGTTTTTTTTTGCCTTGTCTTGCCATCCACATATAATTCTGCATTCGGTTCGTCTCGTCGAGTCTGAGTGACTTGTCATATAAGTTGTTTGCTGTTTGTCCAAACATGGTTTTTATGACATCAATAAATTTTGTTGTTGGCGGGCAAATAAATGGTCTGTCTGCATACATTTCTATTAATTTGCTAAATTAGCAGTAACATGTTAAGTTAACATGGATCCGTCCGTGTGTGTTTGTTTTCATTTGTTGCTTAGCAGAGACGTCGAACCATATCTTGTTAGTGGCCATTCTACAGCAAAAGAATACAATATGAAGAATTCACACGGGAAAATATTGTTTTAGTTAAATTAAAAAGTGAAAACGGAGTTATGAGACCATTGGGGGCGACTATTGGATACCCTATATCACAATGGCTTCGATACATTTTCTGTGGATACTGTATACAGAAAATCGTCATAACGATAGCGTTTTAAAGATATATCCGTTCCGAAAAAAAGGCTGCCGCCTATACAGAATTTTGCTTATAGCGACCAGTTTCGTCGGTCCTTGGATCATCTTTATAAGCAATTTCTACTGTATATTGATTTAAATAGTTCAAATTCAATTAAATTTTTTTAATGTACGTATGTATGTTAATTTTTTTATATTTGTGATACAAATTGTTTAGATAAAAACACAACTCATTTTTATATATGATAATTTTCCATTCCATTCCAACTGGAGTAGTAATAATCCAATTAATCAAATTTTTTAATCATAATCTATAATAACACTGTGCTACAAAATAACAAAAAAAATTTTTTCATGGGTTCTAATGTACCAATTCTGTTTAGTTGAAGTCCCTGGATCCCGAAAATACCTTTGGTTTTTCTGGGTCACTTCGAAAATTAATTTTATAACGGTAAATATAGAGAAAAACGTTGTTTCATGGATTTTCCATTTGAAACTTTAATAACATATTTACTTTATAACGGATTTATATTATTCTTTTTTTATTTCGAAGAATACAATTTTTCCTTTCAAACAAGATATATATTTGGTAAATCGCTTGAGGATTGGCTGAGTTACAGCGGTTGGAATATGAAAAATACGCATAAAATGACAAAATTTATTTTTCTTAGGACTGTACGATGAAATTATGATATTAAGCCATATAAGTTTTATTATATTACGGGGAAGAAAATTAAATTAGCTTTCGAAAATGATAAAAATCAAAAAAATCGGTTTAAAAATGGATGACTTATACACATTTTTGTATTGATTCGATGCATATTCTCTAAAGGAAATATGGGTCTGTATCGTTTCCTGTTAGAACCCGTTATTTTTGCTACAGGCAAAAGGAAACGAGATAGACCCATAGTTCCTTTAGAGAATATGCATAGAATCAATACAAAAATGTGTATAAGTCATCCATTTTTTAACCGATTTTTTTGATTTTTATCATTTTCGAAAGCTAATTTAATTTTCTTCCCCCTAATATAATAAAACTTATATGGCTTGATATCATAATTTCATCGTACAGTCCGAAGAAAAATAAGTTTTGTCATTTTATGCGTATTTTTCACATTTCAACCGCTGTAACTCAGCCAATCCTCAACCTATTTACCAAATATATATCTTGTTTGAAAGGAAAAATTGTACTCTTCGAAAGAAAAGAAGAATAATATAAATCCGTTATAAAGTAAATAAGTTATTCAAGTTTCAAATGGAAAATCCATGAAACCACGTTTTTCTCTATATTTACCGTTATAAAATTAATTTTCGAAGTGACCCAGAAAAACCAAAGGTATTTTCGTGGTCCAGGGACTCCAACTAAACAAAATTGGTACATTAGAACCCCTGAAAAATTTTCGTGTCGCACAGTGTAATCAAAAACTTTTTTTTTGTAATTTAATCGGTTTAATATTATTTAGTAGTTCAATATCCCTCCCTTTTACATTGAAGTCGCTTAATACGATAAATTTTATATTTAATTGTGAAATGTAGCTTACAGCCTTAAGGTCGAAATACTGGGCACTATGAAATATATAAATAAAAAAAAAAATAAAAAAATAAAACATGACACTTAATTCGAGAATATATGTACGCAAAATTGCATGTTATTCGGAAAGACATAGGGTGTTTTGATTACCATATACATTTCGGAGCTATAAGTAAATCTAAGCCATTTCAATTTTGTTCGTTTTAGGTCAATAAAAATATATGTTATGCCAAATGCCGACCTATACTATGTCTACAAAAAAACATAGACATAAAATCTGATAAGCGAACAAGCATCACCATGATACTCTTGATTGTTACAGATTATTACACAAATACAAATTTTATAGAAATTGCAGGATAATAAATCTTGTACCAACGTTATGTTAATTGTGTTAATTTATTTATGGTTGATTTATTTTTTTTCAATGCCATTGACTTTTCTGAAAATTCATTTAAATTTATTAGCATCAACAATTTACAAAATTTTTACAATTAAAGAACTATATGTTGTGGGAGCACACAAATATTCATATTAGCCAACTACCTGTTTAGACCACCTACATTAGGTTACCGCTTTTATTACAATCTCTTTATGACGCCTTCGCACAATTAACTAACTCACATCCAGCTGGCTCTCTTCTTCGAGTTTATCGCAACAGTTTAACTGACTGACTGATTGGCTTTGGATTTTAGTTAACTGACAGTCAGTTGATTAAACAACGGCTGTCCCAACACACTGATATCTTTACTTTAAACATAAAAATAAAACACAATTGATTTAGCAGGCTTTTTTCTTCTTTCTAGTTATTTATCGTGTCAAAATAAATTCGGTAATTCGGAAATTTTAGATAAGTGTAATTTACTGTGATAAGGATAGGAGGGGAGAGTACGATGCAAGTGCTTATCTCTTAGTTCTGCCGTTCAAAAAATATATTTGAATTTATCTATCATTCAGGATGAAATTAATATGTATGTGAATGGGTGAGTGGTGGTGATGACTTTTGCTTCCTACAAAAATTTCAATAATATGTGTTCAAGTCTGGAGATGCATACTCGTCATACATCGTCAATTGTTGTGATTACATGAAAACAAAAAGAAAAGAAAAAAACTACAAATAGGTGTATTTAAATAATAACTGTAACCATTCGCCTATTTTTAAATACAAACAGCAGCAAATGACTAATGTGCGGTATATTTACGAAACAAACCCCAATCGCAAGAATTATAATGAATATAAACGGTCTATTATTTTCATTGCAGTCACATGAATGACGAGAACAACAAGCAATTATGTTTGAAAGGCAAGTATTGCTCGTCTCTAGGAATAACATTGAACCAGCAGTCGAGCAGTTCGGAAGCAACAACAGTGGCAGTTTTGCCCTCAACGACACACTCGGACACACGGTCAATTTTGCGTACAACGGCATAGTGTTGAAGTGTCAATTACAAAACTCATAGTAACTAGTCCAACGAACGACGAGACGACAATAGGTCGGACAACTCCTGTGGCTAAAATCGTCTTTAAGATTCGAGCTTTAAAACGACGAAGAAGAAGTAGAACAAAAATACTAATTCCTCTGACCACACCCTCAACCACATCCACACCACGCCATATAGTCTAGTGCATTCCGTTTTATAATTGCAATGCTGTTAATTGGCGCCCTCGCCTTGGGTTTAGTTGAATCAACAAATTCCAATTTGGGCATAAACAGTTTACCCTCTAGTACGGCGTCTAGCAATAGTGTTGTTGCTAGCAGTGATGGAAATGCTGTGATCGATGGTGTACCTTCGGCTGTATCGATATTCTTGCATACGACAATGAATGCTGCAATAGGAAATAATGGAAATTTGAACGGGGGTGGTGGTCTAACGAATAGTGGCGGTGGCAGTAGTAGTTCAGTTCCATGGGACAGTAATGCCACAATACGCTCAGCAAGCCCGGGAGACTGGTCAATTGAACAGTGCCTAATATGGCAGCGACCCCACCATATGTATTTTCAGCTGGGTAATGCCTTTTTGCTGTTGGCATTTTTAGCTCCACACCGGCCTTTTGGAATTCTTTGGCTACGATCGATGCTCGTAGTTGCAGCTGTACTATTGGCTATGTATGGCTATTTAATAGATTGTGCCCAAGACGTTGTACTGTGGTCATCGTTATTCTTCGGCATTAACATCATATACCTGATTGTAGCGCTGTGTCGGCTACGACCTGTTCGTTTTGAACGAGAAATAGATGCGGTAAGTGAAATCTCAATGTTTATATTTACATTTGAAAAACATAATTAAAAACAAGCCTTATTAGAATGTGCTATTTAATTTAAATCGAATCAAAGTTTAGTCGGTGCTAGGTTATTCGGTTGTGATCGATTTAAAGTCATACATTTTTATTGTAAACAAATGTTACTACATACTTGGTACAATTATTGATTAATATTTTTGGTGAAGATCATGGGTTCGGTTCCATGACAGAATATTATTTTAAACAAAATATTTAAGGGAGCAATACGAGAAGGTTTGGTTAAAAATGCACAACTGCCGCAATAATTATGTAATTTTTTAGCTTTGTGATTCATTGTGGTATTCCTTGAAATTTGATGTTTAAGTCGTTCATGTAAGTTCTAAATAGTAATCAATAATGAAGTTAATAAGTAAAAAAGTGTCAGTCGGTGTTGCCAACAGATATATACGCCCAGCCTATGGTTTGCGGAGGTCTTCGGAATTACACACAGATTTTATTATTAGCTTTATATAAGAAATATGTATTTACGAAAGAGGTTTCAGATTTAATGTTGATAAAATGTTATAAAATATTGACCATTTATGAGGGAGGTACCGGAAGGAGTGGACTACTGCGTCCCATTTTCGGAATTGATATAGTGTTGGTAAAGATAATAGGTTGTACATATTGAAAATTTTGACCATTCGTGGGGGAGGTACCAGAAGGAGTGGACCAGGATCTTTGGACTTAATGTTAAGTCCGCACTATAGGGACTTGGGTGGTTGGCAGGTACAGTGCAATGATCCTCCCGATAGAGCATCTTCCTACTTGATCTAGGCTTGGTGAAGATAGTAGGTTGAAATCCCATTCACTCATCGTTATCGAATAAAAACACACCTTTGAATTTCCATATTTAATATTTATAAATTTATTACAATTTGTTATTTATATTTATGTATATAATTTTTCTTATTTACTAAAAATAAAAAGAATTTCTATTATAAAAATGTATTTTTTGTTAATGGAATAGCAGGCTTTCCTTTACTACAGTGTATAAAGAAAAAACATTTGTACATTAAGTGTCGAATTGTTAGTTTTGTTTTTGTACTTGTTACAATAATTGTATAACATCTTTTAAAAAATTCACTTTGGCCTTTAATTTAAAATTCAATTCGACATTCAATGGAAAATATTTCACAACTTTAGATCTTCCTACATACACATGTTGCTCTCATGGCCTGCCACTGCTATGTTATGAGTTTTGGGAAATAGTATTATCACAGATATTCTAAAATGTACTTCTATATTATTTCATCGGTATGATTTTTTTTTATAAATGACAATTAAATTTAATAAATGTGAAAATTATTAAATGTCACAATTTTATAATATAAATATATATTTTTAAAAGCGGTGCCATGCCGTCGAAATTCTTAAATATTGTATCAAATATTCTAAATATTGTTGTTGTTATTTTGTTTTGCTAATACTCTAATCTAAAGTATATGATATGATCAAGGAACATCAATTAAATTCTATGCAAATTTAACATGAAAAAATGTTTTCCATAAATTATTGTGTTGTGGAATAAATGCTTTGAAAACAACTGGAGTGGAATATTGTTACATAAGGATTGCGATTACATTAAAATAGATTGTGTGAAATTTAACATAAGTAAATTTAAATTTTCAAAATTAACATCATAGCCCAGTATAACAATATTCCACCGTAATTGTAGCTATATATGATGATTGATGAGAGAGAATTTGTTTGTGCACATGTTTTTCTCTTATGAAAAGGATATCATTGCAGTTTATGATGACAATGACAAAATTTGCCTAATTATGACTAAACTCAACTCCAGTCACTCATTCCTTATAATCTCTATTTAAATAATAATTATGGCTTAAATATAATACTTATTTTGAAAACTCTATATGAAATGCAGAATATAATTTTCCAATTATTTTTGTTGTTGTTTTGGTATAATGTATAAATGGTATATGGCGTTATTTTTGTGGTTCATTCATTATTTCGAAAGAAAATATGTCAAAAATGTGAATTGTGATGATGGAAAAGGATAACTTGGAATATTTGTATATATTCTTCCTATTTTATACCACACACACAACAACAAAATTGACCATTGTAAATAAATATTAACTAGGGATATTTTGTTCGTTTTTTTACATATACATGTTATCTAATAATAAATATATTTTTTGGCCTATATTGATATTTGTATTTTACCAGCTATATAATATAAATGTAAACAACTTGCTACCATTGTGATTAGATTGCCAATGGCAACCGTCATATGGATACGACGAAAGGCTTTATGTATACGCTGGTAGTGTGGACACTGGATCAAATCACCCTGGACCAATTGTCCTATTTCCTTGCCACTACCAACGGTGCCTTCGATTTTATATTTTTCATGCATTAACTGGAGTAGTGGTGGGGCCAGATATAGCCTCACAATAAGTTCAATGGCTCCGGTTAGCGACAATGCTATTAACTGTATACATTGTGGCATGGACCATGACACGAAGAAGAATTTCACAAATAGTATTAGCATTAGAATACTAAGGGCTCCGTTCATAGCAAAATATTTGGGAAATAGTATTTGTTGACACTGGCCGAACATATGGCGAGGTAGGGAAAAATACAATGAAAGACCTGAAAGAAATGAATAAAAAAATAATAATTAGTATTGTTATTGGGAGAAATTTGTTTTTTATTGAGAAATGGAGAATGTTGTATATTTCAGAAAATTTTGTAAATTATTAACATAGAACTTAATAAAAACGTGGGTAACTTAAAACGGAAGCCAAAAATTTTAAAATTATAAATTCTATTCGTGTCCAAGAAATTAATTAATTGGTCTGTTCCCGTACTGCAAAAATCTACTAATTTTTACTATTCTATGGAATTTTTACTATACTAAGGAAAAACTGTTGTTATGGTAGTAAAAAATTGTACATTCTTGCAAGTTCTGGAGCAGACCCAATATGTATTTTTCTTATTCCTGAATTTTATTAGTTTTGTTTTGGATAAGTTTAACATCTCGGCCACCAAATCCAGAAGTAGTCATTTACATGTTTTTGAAAACTTTTAAAATTGCCTATAGACAATTGCCCATAGATGCTGTGTCAGAACTTCTTCTGTGACTTTAAAATATTTCCATTATCTGTTCTATTGTGTTACATGTATAATTTTATATTGTCTTACATGTTACAAAGTGAACTAAATTATGATTTTATTTTGAATCTTACCTGATACGAAGGTCATCCATATTTGTGAACCAAAATGTATCGAAAATGCACCCAAATATGCAATCAATGCCAATTTGTAGTGTGTTGTTGTTGCCGACGAAGGACTGTAGTCATCTTCGGTTGTTTCAGGCATTACATACTGATTCGTTGATCTGCTGTGGGTAATTGTGGTCTGTTTCGCACCCGCACTTCCATATATAAGATCGGGCCATATTGTGAGCAATACAAATGATGGAATACATATGGCTAAAATGTGAGCTGGTTGGGTCGTTCTTGTCAGAAATCTATGGCAGAAGAAAATAAGATATAAATAAATAAAATATCGCAAATCGTATTGTAAAAATGTGACATTTTCACGTAATGTTTAAAATGTAAATGCAGAAATTTTAAAATTAAAGCTTAAACGTAAGCCAACAACTAACAAATAAAATAGTTTATTCAAATTAAAGATACATTGTAGAATTTTTGCATACATTCCAAACAGACATCCGGCTATACAACTAACTAACTAACCACCCGACTCGTATGAATTCCGAATCACAACTGAGTGGTGGCCTACGTGCGAAAACGCATGCAATTTTTATTGAATGAAAGCCCACCGCTATACAATAGCAACCACGACAGACGAGACGACCAAGTTCCACTAATAATAATAAAAACTACAACAACAAAGCAACAGTGTTGTGTTGCCATGATTACGTCTTGCCCCCCCGATCTTGCCACATACTACATATCTTAACCAATCATCATCTTCTCTCTAAGCATGCCTCCTCGGTCGGCTCAGCGCTCCTCTCCGGTGGATACAACATATCCAATATAAATCGCGTGACAAGGCGAACTGTGTGGCTGGCGGCAACTAGATATTCATGTTGCGGTTGGAGAGCATAATGGGTTTTGAAAAATAAATAAAAAAAACTATTATGCAAAGGCTAATGAACAACGAAACAAAAAAATTTTGAACCAAGAAGTGTCTAAAGAACATTGACATATTTCCATTTTGCCAAAACTTTATTACAATGCAGACCATGTATGCACACATATCACAAAGTCCATAAATGGTTAACCCATTACGGACCATATTTATCATTGTATGTGTCTAGAGGATTTTTTTTTTCAAAAAAGGGAATTCTAAACATGTTTATCCACAAAAAGAAAATTGAAAAATTAGTGGGAGCTATTACGATTTTATGCCTCATGATTTTAATGCATCGATTTAGTGATTTTTGATTATTAATTTTTATTTGTTACTGCCACACATACATACATACGCTTTTGTTGGACAAAGATAATATACCTGACTTGTTATTAATAACATATTTTCTCGCTTTCTCGATTATATCATAGTTTATTTCAGAAACACTGCCTAATAATCACCAGCGAAATAAATAAGAGCTTAAAAAAGACCCATTTCAAAATTTTAATTTATTTTACATTGATCGAGAATTTTGGACTAATCTCAAAATTTCAATAAATATTTCATATGGCTGCTGTCGATTTCGATTTGAGTTAAAGGTGTTCAAAACATTTAACTTTAATTTCGAAATAAAAGTTGAACCATAGTAGAAACACACACTACATGTCTACCTACCCTCAATGGGTTAATTCCAACGAACCATACTATGAAAAGAAGTACGACACCTATGTCGTACAACGGACGTTTTGTTTGTGTAAAGCTTATCAGTTTCGAACGTCATATTACTGCAGATCTCTACGTAATTGGTTCTTAGTATTATTGTCATTGTTGGCTCTTAGCTGTCGTATTTTTCGCGCGCCTTAGTAACACCTTTTTCGCTTACGAAATAAGATAGAGAACTTGCTCTATATTAAAACTTGGCGTACAAAAGAAGTGCATATTCATTGGTTTGTGTCGTTGTTGCATTTGCTCACTTACTTAAACTACATTCAATTTGATTATTTACTCACGTGTATAGTTTGCTTTTCTGCAATCTGGCCAGCTTGTGCTGCATGTGAAATGTTAGCTTTTTTGTTAAGAGAGTGCTTTTAGCCAAAATGTCATCTTGATAGACGTTGCTGTCATCTGTTGATGTGGATGCTGCAGGTATTTGTTCTAGAAGACCATTTAAATTTGTAATATCTTCAGTGGACGAAGATGACGATGATGAAAAGGATTCTGTAGTTGTTCTTGTCCTGCTGCTGCCGTGCAACAAAAGTGTTTCGAATGAATCGGCATTTTTAGTAGCAAATGTTCGGTCGGTGGGATGTATAACACTCGTTACACCTTGTGGTTTTAATAGGCCATGGGCAAATGGACATTTCATTTGAAATAATCCAGATGCTGTTGCTGGTGGCTCCTGTTGTGTAACTGGTTGTTGTTGCCGATTTATAATATCCACTTGTTTTTTTGCAGCCTCTTCTTCAATTGCCCTTCGTCGCATTGTGTATTTGACAGCTTTGATCACTTTTTGGGGCATACCATTCTCAATGCATTTATCGATTTGTTCGTTTTCCAACACGGAATTATGGCACATTTTGTATTTAGTTTCAAGATCACACTCGAATTGCACACGGCTAAACACTGTTCGATTTTCTTCTCGATGTTTGTTGTGATAATAAAACACCCACAAAACTCAGGATAATTTATTTGTGATTTTTTGTTCACTTTTGGCACTGAATATATAAAACCAGATTTTTATTTAATTTAAAGCGGTTTCCAATTCAATTGTATTTTTTTTTTAATTTTATTTTTTGTTTTACGTTTTTTGCATTGTTTGTCCTCTTTTTTATTATTTTTTGTATCGTTTTTCTTATGATCAGTTGGCCTTAAGCAGCAGAAAAAAGTCTCTGTACTGCTGGGTATCCACACAGAGAACTGCCAACGACTTTCACACTTTGAGTTGATAAGTAATAGTGAAGCGTTCACCATCCGTACCCATGCTTATATTTTCCCACACAAACAATTGCCGAACGCGCTTGCAAAAAATAACAACAACAGCGACGACGAAAGCAGCAACGACAACACAAAAAAGAATCACTCATGGTGTGTGCTCTGTGTTTGGGGCTGGTCACACTCTGTAACTTTCTCATCATGCATGTGTTCTCATACGGAGCTAACCACTGCTGAATCAAGAGAAGGCAACCACACAGAACGGCTCTTTACAATACTCTGGCTTGTTGCTATGACAATGTAATGATGTTGTATGCTGTTGTTGACTATTTCAGATGGTGGTCATTCACACACCGCCCAATCCCCCACCAAGAAGGAATCATCGCTTAGAAATCCGAAGGCCCAATATTTCTGTTACAGAACACCTAATCGATTTGGCTATGTTTCTTACGTTTTTGGCGTATGTATTATACGTCTTAAATGTATGTAATTTACGTCACTGTTTCTGACAGTCCATCTCAGGCCCCCCGCCCCTTTATGTAGCCCACAAGTAAGTCACTCAGTGAGACAACAACATCAACCATGGGATTTATTTATGTTGGAACATATTTTTTTTTATCGTTCACACTTATTGTTGCTGTTGTTGTCGAAGACGTGCCTCTTTTTTCGTCTACGTCAGAACGGCAAATTTTTGGTTTTAATTTTGGAAAAAGATCAATGTCAGTCAGACAGCAGTAGCAGCAGTTTAGCAATAAACATTTTAAATACTGTGTCACATGCCATAGATGCTAATTTCATCATTTTGAAAATATTTTTGTGTGGTTTGGTTGTTATTGTTTTTTATTTTTATTTTTCTGTATAATAGATAAGACGATTTGTTGATCACGATCACCACCCAACCACCCCATATAGTATGTTTACGTCGGTGTTCCATTGACGCCGTCTACTTTTTTTCTTTCATTTCACTCGTCACTGTGGAATGATGGTGTGTGGGGTATGTGAACTGGTGTTGTTGTATCATTCCGTTAGTAACATCTGGATTTTTTTTTTAAGAATTCGATATATAATGGAAGAGGAGATACTACACCTGATGATTATGCATTTTAATTCATTGGAAGTTATGGGGCGGAAAATATAATGACGCGGACAATTTAAGGACTGCAAATCAAGGGTTTCAAATATCTAACATATGATCGTAATATACACAATTATGCATTTTCGATATGATCCACGATATTATAAATTAAAATATTTTTATCCATAGAATAGAGTTCGGCCCAAATTACTTTGAACTTTGGCACAACGAACCTAGGTGCATTGTTGCAAGATGTATTTGGCCAACTCTGTCTACCAAAAGGACACACTCACTGTTGAACCTGAGCAAAGCTGAAATAAGAGTAATGACAGGAGTCATTACTGGTCATTGCAATATCAGGACCTTTACTAGTAAATGGGACCATGATGTTATTGATTACTGTAAACTCTGCGTTGACGAGGAGGAGACGGTGACAATTGAGCACCTCCTGAGTCGCTGCCCAGTCCTGGTCTACAGACGGCACAGACTTTTGCTCACTTTCCACCGAGTCTTAGTTTCACCTCAACAACGTACCTGCTCTAAACTACAGCATCATTAGAAACCTAAAGTTGTTAGGAAAGTGCAACCTTGGCACTTAATATAATATTTTATGTCCGATCTCTATAGCCATTGATAATATCTCATACTTACCTCCTCACATTTTCTTGTAAGCTTCTCATCTCTCTATACCCCCTTCTTTTCTCACAATGGACCTAACGGTCTCAGAATGCTGTAGCCACATTAGTGACTGCACATCCCCAAACCTAACCTTTCTTTTCAAAATCGAGTTGGGAATATGATTTAGATACTGATTCATCCATAAACCATACATTTCTTCTTACCTATGTTGTTAAATTCATTTTGATTTTGAACTCTGAGAGCGATTTTGACATTTTGCTCTTTTACAAGTTTTACTATGACAAAAAGTACTGGAACAGAACATATATTGACCGGGCAAACCTAGTACTGCTTTCACGTTTTGGATTTTTCATATATTTAGAATTAAAAAAAAAACACGGCCGACGACTGTAATATTTATTTTCATTTTTTCGCCCCTTTTCCAAGTGTAGCAGCGCGTATTTGAGATGATTTTTTGTTTCTTTACACATAAGTACGTGACATTGTTGCTTTAGCAAGAAAGCCTATGTCTTGCTTATATAATTTACAAAGGGCGTGCAACAATTGTCTCTATTGATTTCGATCAGTTAAATTCCAAGAAATGTCCACCTTCTTCATTTTTATTACCCAGAATATTCAAAGACATTGAAAGGCAATTCACGTTTTATCTAGTAAGTCCGTCCTACACTGTTTCGCATAGCAAAAAGGAATCGGATTTTTTTTGCGCCCAAAAATATTGTGTAGTGTACAACCCAATCGACTTTGATCATTCCCTTCGCCGTTGGTTTGTATAGATGTACTACCTCTTGTTATTGTGCGAATTTCATTTCGATTTATTACAATCACGCGTACTTTACTACTATTTACAATTGACTGGAAACTTTCGGTTGTAAAGTTGGCTGGCCCCCACTGTAATGTCTGTTGCCTGTTGTTGTTTATACTTTGGCTTTAGTCTATCATTTCAATTTGAAGTGCATTCTAAGTGTGATAGCAGCAGCTCCTTGTTAATGCCATTATCTATTGCCATAATAGGAAGACTATTAAGCGGAATTATCTGTCGGGAATGATACATCAAATTCACCTTCACCCTAATGTGGTACAAGGTTTCATTCATTAAACAACTATTACTGCTGCTATTTTCTTATAATGAGAACATTTAAATTCTTTGGAAGCGAACGGACAGACGGACATCACTCTCACACGCACACATTAAAGTCTTTAAATGGCATTGGGTATTTTTTTCTTTTTGTTCATGTCTCATTCTAAATATCTAAAATAAAGATAGCCACAATTGTTGAGTTGATGCTGCTGTTAATTCAAGTGAATTGAAATCTTTTATCCGCTAGGAGGAGTGAAATATTCCCATTACTTAACTATAGCCATTGGTCGTTTGTGTCATGTGTTTGTGTTTGAGTCGCTAGTTTGCTGTTCATGGCTCAAGCATGTGGTTTCCTTCTGCCGTTCATGGTCTTGGCAATAAATCGACTGACTGAATGACGATGACGACTGTAAATGATTTATTTGCCATATTTGTTGTTGTAATGTAGAAGATAATAGACCCATCAAATGAATTAAAGATTAACAAATCGACAAACATAACAATTAAAATGTCTTCTACAACAGAAAAGAGTTGAACAAGAAGTAGATGACGATGAAGAAATGTACATTTACTTCATGCTTTCATCAATTTGAGATAGGGGCATTTAAATGTTATTTCTGTAAAAAAGCTAATTCCATTCCTATGGAAGTCCTAGGGCTGATTTTATTCAACGCAATGTCATGTTGAAACTAAAAACTTTAAATATGACTATGCATACAATTATGTTTGCTTTAATTAAGGTGACCATACGTCCTTTTTTTAGAGGACAATCGTCTGTTTTAACTGGCTGTCATCTATAAAATGTATGTCCTCTATCTGACATCTATTTCTATAATCTGTCATCTATATTTTTAAAACCTTGATCAACATTTATTTTTGTAAATTAAAACAAATTAATAAATTTTATGAAATTTCAGTAAAATATTTAGAAAAGGTATTTTTAGGATTTTTATACATATTTTCCAACTGAATTATCTGTTATTTTATATTTTGAGTTCTAATTGGGCAACAAATTTCCATGAAAAATTATTAATTCTTATATTTTGGAATTATTAGAGTTCCTGGACACGTTTTGCAACCGAATTGGCTGTAATTTGTTGTTTTGGGCTCCATGTTTTTAGGTTCCCCAATATAAAAAACCCATATTTTCATTTTTTTATATTTTATATAAATTGGCCTGTGGTCTATAGATTGCAAAATATCCTTGGAAGGCATAGTCGACATAGGTCTACTTCTTTGCTATGTTCCTTATATACAGATCCTAAGATTATTCGCTAAGGACCAAAAATTTGACATGATCGTAAATAACGAATTTTTAACTCATTTTATATATTAATAAGTCAATAAGAATGTACATTTTATACCCATACTATTATTTTTATTAAACATATACTTTTTTCTTTTTACCCATCTATTTTCATTTTCAAAATCTGGTCGCCTTACTTAAGGGGACCCCCCATTCTCGGGGTCAAAATTTTTGTTCATATAATTCGAATCTGCACTGATTAAAGAATGTCTCTACAAAATTTCAAGTGAAAATATCAAGAACTCTTGAAGATATAGCCGATTTATTGTGTCAGCATCAAGTGACGGCTGAAGGGCTTCTCAAACTTTTAACGCGTTTTTCTCTAAACATTTTTTTGCGAATGGCGGGCATGATAACTCAAAAACTAATAATCCAATCGGTTCCAAATTTTGCAACGTTTTTCTGGGAGTGTATAGCTCTTGTATAAACTAGGATAAAGCCAATCGGTGAAGATCTTCCTTATTTTTTAACTTGGTTTTTGGTAAAAAAATCGGCGATTTTCCAAATATATTTTTTCAAAGGTCCACCATTTTGTTAATTTTAGAGCGAAGTCA